TTGCTTTGCCCTTTTGCTACCTTTACTCTGAGATGGAATAGACATTCCTTATGCTTTCAGGATCACTCCCTTAAGGAGCAGCCACTCATCTTGGATTCCTCTCCCTGTCGAGCCATGGCCCCTTAGGGCCTCAACAACAAGCCTCCTAAGTTCATCAAAGTCAGTTTTCCTGAAGTGGAGGACTTCTGCATTGTTGGCTGACTTGCCAGCTTTGCGATGGATAGTAAAAGTGATCAGCTCATGGTCACTGTCTCCCAGCTTTCCTTTGATTCTTAGGTCAGTGACTAGATCATCCCCTTTGGCCAGTACCGGGTCCAGCAGCTCTTTACCTCTTGTCGGTCCATAGACTTCTTGAGTCAGGTAGAGCTCGCCCACACATGCGAGGAAGTTTTATGACCATTTGGATTTGGCCAAGTGCTCTTTCCACTTTAACACCTTTGGTTTACTTTTTATAAAATGAAAATGCTGTGTTCTCAACTTGGTTGTGCTCTTAACTTGGGTTAGTTAACACCTTTTTTTTTTCACTAGGACTTAATTTTGAGTTAGTTACCCTGGTTTTCTGGTGAAGACTTGCCATATGAAGGCTTTCTTTCCAGTCATCAGCTCAGTCTGGTTCTTCATCTTCTTTTTTTAAATATCAAAATGTGAATTAGAGAACAGCTGAGAAATGCATACTTGCCTATCATCTTGGGAAACTAGTCCAGTGTGTTTCTACTAATAACAAAGGAAGCTTCAGGTCTTGCAAGAGCTAATTTAGATGGAAATTGAACAAGCAGTTTAATATGAATTTATGTTCTTAGGTGGTGAAATTGCATCAACCTTTGAGCACCCAGAGCTGGTAAAACTAGGAAGTTGCAAGCTTATTGAAGAAGTCATGATTGGAGAAGATAAGCTTATTCACTTCTCTGGAGTAGCTATGGGTAAGTGTCTTACCATTGGCTTGCCATTGTAACTGCATTTACTTATTGAAACCACTTGTATTGAAACTGTCCAGTAAATGATTGCATGAGAATAGATATATGCCAGATGCGCCAAAAAAGTGTTGTTTTGTATTTGAAAGCTTGGCAAACAGAAAGACCCTAATCTTGCAGAGAAGTGTATATATGGCTGACATTATTAATCAGCAGTTGCTTGTGTCTTGGTAAAATAACAGAGTTGGAAAGGACCTTGAGGGATCCAATCTCTTAAATGAAAACAGGACTTCTACTCCTAAATAATCCTTATTGAATGCCTAGCCAACCTCTTCTTGAAAACCTCCAACAAAATAGGTGTTAAAACTTCCCTGGACAGTCTGTTCACTGCCTTATTCACTTAATGTTATTTTCACTATTTAATTCATATTGCAATTTAAATCCCTTATTTTGTGTACTGCCCTCTGCAGCTAGGGAGAGCAGTTCTTCCTCCTCTTTATGATAGCCTTCCAAATATTTGAAGACTGCTATCATGCCCTCCCCTTTTCTCCAAGCTCTTTCTTGTATTTCTTATTTTTACTTCTTGCCTTCCTAACCCCTTTATCACTTTTGTTACCTGACGTTGGACCCTCCTAACTTTTCTCCATCAGTCTTAAAATGCAGAGCCCAGAGTGTCACATAGATGATGCCTCACCCGCATCTATTAGTGTCACAATCAGCCCATGTGTCTTACCTAATAATGCTCCAGTTAATCTTGCCCAAAATTGCATTTTTTTTTTACAACAACATAACTTATTTTGCAAGATGAAACTGTTGTGACACAAATGCTGATCTGTTATGTAAATAACTTTAATTGGTAAATAGGTACCAATATCTATAAACCGTACGTAATTTGGCAAAGAATTGTTTTGTGTTACAGCTTTTACTTGTGAATAAACAGTTTAATCTGGAGTAATGTGGGGATGAGAGAAAATGAAAAAAGTGGTACCATAAAAATTCATTCCTTTTGTGACGCCATGTGTATTATTTTTTTTTTATGCTGATGTCTTAACTTAATGGTAGTAAAACCAGTCTAAATGTTCAGGTAGCTTATTTTTTGGTTTTGCTTTTTATTAATGTTTAAATTATTGGTTTTGTTAGATGTTCTTAACTGTTTGCTATTTTTCATCATACTAGGTGAAGCTTGCACCATAGTTCTGCGTGGAGCAACTAAGCAAATTCTAGATGAAGCAGAAAGATCTTTGCATGATGCTCTCTGTGTCCTTGCCCAAACTGTGAAAGACACTAGAACTGTATATGGTGGAGGTAAATACTTAGATTTCTTTTTTTCTCGATGCCTTTAACACAATTAGTGGTTGTGAGTTGACTCACATATAAGATGCTTGTGTGTCTTTTAATATACAGGTTGTTCAGAGATGCTGATGGCTCATGCAGTCACAGAGCTTGCCAACAGGACACCAGGCAAAGAATCTGTTGCAATGGACTCTTTTGCTAAGGCTTTAAGAATGGTAAGTCAGAGTTCATTCAAATTATTGGAGTAGCCAGTAGAGCTAACATTTTTAAGACTTGTTTGAGTAAGGTAAAAGACAACTATCCAAATATTTTAGTTGTTACTCTTTCAGATTTTGATTGACTTGGAGGTACAGAAACTATATTTATTAAATCACTTATCCTGGCTGTGTAATTAGACAAAAATTGTTGGACTAATCTTTCCTCTTGTTAATGTATTGATATGATAATCATTACTTCACGTACCTGTTTTGTATTTGAGTAGGTCAGTGTGTTAATTTTGTCAGTTGTTTTTAATTAGCATTTTATTTTGATCTTGGAGTTTCTTCTACTTTTGGCTTGTGATATCTGATAAGGTCAAAAGCCTAAGACAGAATCAAGATGTGATGGTCTTTTCCAGCTCCTAATTACTCTCACACACACACACACACCCCCAAGTTTGTTTTAGAGCTGCTTAGTATCTGTTCTGTAACTAAAGTTTCAGCTATGTCTGTTCTCAAAAATATATTTTCAAGTAATATCTAGCTTTTGTAAATGCCCCTCTTTTGGGCTTGAAAATTTGTGCTATTTTCCAGCACAGAGAATTGTGTACCAGAGATCTCAACAAGTTTCTACAATTAAAATTGTTTGTAGTACAGTAACATTTTGTAATGTAACTTTAGATACCTATGACTTTAGTGAAAAATTGTTGATAATCCTAATGGGAAAAGCTTTGTATTTTTTCTGCAATTGCATGATTTGCTAGTCCTACTGTTCTTGTGACTTAAGTAACTTAGGAACCGTAAAGGGAATTGCTTGGGAATTTGGAATGTCCTCTCAACTGTTCATGCTTATTCCCTTAGATCCCAATCATCATAGCTGATAATGCTGGCTACGACAGTGCAGATCTAGTTGCTCAGCTTAGAGCTGCTCACAGTGAAGGGAAAACGACTTATGGACTTGGTGAGGAGTTTGATACATCATATGGAGACTTTTTTGCTTTTACTTTTAAGATTGACTGGAAGCAAACTATTGTTTAATAAAACAAAGTTAAAAAATTATTGGGTCAAAAAGAAAATAATTATAATGAAAGTATAAATCTAACATCAGCATCAACTTTATTTGTATCTTGTAGCAACATTAGATATTAAGTTTAAAACTGATTTCGGTTCTTATTAGTCTTTTATGCCATCTTAACATGTTGACTCTCCAGTTTACTGACCTCTGAGATAAGGTTGTTCATCTTCACCTTTTGGAATAGAGATGGCTTTTTGGCTGTTAACTAAACTCTTGCATTCCTGATAAAGTATATGGGTCAAATCAGTGAATGTTACTGCTGTGATTCAGTTAAGTGGGAGCAGAATTAGAAAGTGCTGAAACATGGAAGGTGAGGAATACTAAATGAAATGATCAGTAACTGTAACAGGCAGATGCTCCAATTTGACAATTAACTGCTTGGAATAAAAAGTGTGGTTATAATGAAGTGTATATCACTTTAAATTTCTGCATAGAAGAATAGGCAGACAAAGTTCTTCGGGTGAATCTGATATCTTTTATTAGACCAACTTAAATAGTTTGGAAAAAAAATTTCTGAGCAAGCTTTTGGGTTTAAAAACCCTTCATCAGGCTGAGGAAGCCTCTGCAGTTGGTGTGTGCACTTCCTGGATGGAAGGAAGAGCACACACCAACTGCAGAGGCTTCCTCAGCCTGATGGAAGGGTTTTTAAACCCAAAAGCTTGCTAAGAAATTTTTTTTCCAGCTATTTAAGTTGGTCTAATAAAAGACACCAGATTCACCTGAAGAACCTTGTCTGCCTAGACCAACACAGCTACAACCTACACCACTACATTGAATAAGCTTTTTCTATAGTGTAAGCAATATCTGCAGATTCTGAAGTTAATACTTAAAAATAAATAAATAAATAAAAATCCTTATTCACTCGTGTTTCTGTGTTGGGTTTCAAAATGAAATGTCAGACCTTTTTGGCTTGTTTTGGTATGGTTGCATTACACATGTGGCTATATGCAGTTTACACTGATCACATTAAATTACCAGAGTAGCTTTTTGTGGACAGTTAATTTTTGGGACGTGACACATTTTTATTTTTGATACTTTCCAGAGCTAGAGGAAAGTGCTGGGGACATACCAAGACTTGTCTTCCCCAATAACAAAGTTTCCACTATAAATCTGAGTTGTACTATGTTAGATTTAAGTTGTCATTTCCGGGTATGGAGAAGTTGTTAACAATTTTTTCTCTCTTTAGTCATTTATCTTTCTGCTTCTTTAAGTTGTCTTTAAATTCTTTCTGGAATAAATGATGTCTTTTTCTTTAAGATATGAAAGATGGAGTCATTGGAGATATGGCAGCCCTGGGAATAACTGAAAGCTTTCAAGTCAAGCGGCAAGTATTGCTGAGTGCAGCTGAAGCAGCAGAAATGATTCTTCGTGTAGATGATATTATTAAAGCAGCACCAAGGTATCTTAATCTCTGAAACTCATTTTGCTGTTTGAGTTATTAATACCCTTTAATATACAATCCAAAGAATCCCTTTATCATGGGAGTGGGGTGGGAACACTTAGAATATTTCACCTTCAACAGAAGACTTAAAGATAAACTTTCAGTTTTTTCCATGATATCTTACATTAGGCCCCTGGCACTTGTTATTTTTTTGGCCTGTTAATCATCCCATAAATGGGAAGTGGTCACATGTTCAAAGAATTTATAGCACCATAAAATCACTAACCAGCAACAAAAATATTACTTGAAAAATGTATATCTTTGTGGTTGGTTTGTATGGCACCATAACTTAAATGTTTAGCATGCCATGCAAGGACTGTCCCAAAGTAGTCTGCCAGTTGAGAGCTGATCAAAATGGCCCTTGGGGTTGAACCCTGGGACTTGCCCAGTCAGCTGATGGTTGGCAAGCAGGGATTGCCTGGGGGCTAAACCAATCTCCTGTTAGCTGGCAGGCACCACCCTCGTATTCTGGTTCCAGGGTAGTCCCTACCTGCTGATAAGAGATGAGTGGCTCCAGGGTTATGACCATCACCTTACAGTTGGCTAGCCAGGACTGCTCAAGAGCTGAAACCTGGCGGGGGCGGCAATCCCTGTCAGTGGATTCAAGCCCTGGGGCAGTCCTAATTTGCCAATAGTCAGATGCTTGGCCAGCTCCATAAACTACGGGGGGCGGGGCTTGAGCAGACTTATGGGTCCCCAGAGCCAGCTATTAGATGATGGTAAGGCACCCAACCTGGTGGTGCAGGGGGAGCCCGGGATCATGAGTGGAATCTGATACTTGATCCTAAATCACAGATCCTGTCATGCATGTGTGGCAAGGCGGGAAGCACAATTGTTGGGATAAAAGATTAGATCCTATCATGCCTTTAATTGCATGGCTGCCAGGGGCATTAAGAGAAATAATTGACTCTCAAAAGGCATTAAATCACAAATACCTATGAGGTATGATGCAGCTGTTAATCCCGGTGTGTAGAAGTAAATGAAGAAGTGAAATAAAGCATGCATGCAAAATCAAAAAAGGCCAAATTAAACTTGGTTGGGATTAGGTATCAAAGGGGTATAAGAGGGGAGCCAGGGAGCCATGAGCTTTGAGTGAGGCTTATGTTATAAATAAATAAAAGAGAGGAACAAAGCTACAATTGTAGTGGCTGTCTAAAATGCTTTTGAAATACAGCTGATTATTTAAGGATTTCTGCTGGGTTTTTTGTTGGGTTTTTTTTCTCCACATTTACTGTTACTTTTTCCAGCTTAGCTATTGGGCTTTAGACTAATTTGATATCTGGATGTTTCTGGAAATGATTGCTTACCTGGATTTCATTCTTGGGGTCCATGTTTACCAAGAGTGGAATTCCTCTAAATAATACATCCTCAACTACACTTATTGTAAAGTAAATAAGGCCACTATTGATTAAATGAAATGGCGTGGGCATATTAGACACTCCTTTTACAGCTGGTTGACACCTTTGGTATCAGAGGCACTCTACAATTTTTATTACACCATTGTAAAAAGTTATAGATAAGAAGAAAGTAAGACTGGAAGTGACCTCGAGATCATCTAATTCTAGTCCATTCGGGGATCAAACCTGCATGCTTCATTTCATATTATTGGCAACAGAGTTCTTTTGCCTGCTAAATCTGGGATTGGAGAACTGTATAGGAAATAAAATAACTAAGGAAGAATTCCTCATTTTTGTGTACAGGTGCAATACATTTCTGTTAAAGGTCTGTGCAAAGCTAGTATGGTTTTACCTAAAAGATTTTGTGCGAACAAAAGGACCTTATGTGTTCAGCTTTACTACTAAAACTCATTTTGTCTCTGAAAGAATTTTCCCTGAAAATGGTGTTAATGTGATGATGCAGTAATCTTCTGGATTGGGTTTATGTTAATATTGTGGAAAAGGGAGGGATTAGGAATGTAGCTAACTAGTAAATAATAATCTAAATTAGCCAAATCCAGAGGATTCTGAGAAACTTCATAGGTAGTAACCAAAATTTGGTAAAGGGGAAAAAATAATTGCAGATGAAATTCACTGATTGGGTGGCAATGTTTTAACTCCATCCACCCTCCCACTAACGCCCCACAGACATCTGTGTGTATCCAGTGTCTTCATGCTTCTGTTCTGGCAAAGAAAATTAGCTGATCCATTGTAGATAGATATGCATGCCAATTTTCAATGACTGACTTTTTAGGGGAAAAGATGTGTGGGGTGTGAGAGTAAATACAGTAATGAGTAGGGCCTGGTTTAAATCACAGGCCCAGCTCACTAATATTATGGCTGGGGCTGCCATTTTTGTGTCCAGATGGTGGTGCTGCTCCCCCCAACACCCTCTAGTTAGCTGAGGGAGCAAGTTTAGGGCCATTTTTGTGGTTTTTCACAAGAAAATGCAAAATTATGATTTTAAGTCGGGCCCCAGTAATGTAATAAGTAGTCAAGAGAAGTTGGATGTGGATTTTCTCTCCCTATTTTTCTTAAAGGGAAATAAAGGAATAGTCAGTGAAATTGAAAGGTGACAACTAAATTGAAAGTAATGAAAGAAAATATTTTTTCTCATAATGTAGAATGAGACCGCAAAACCCACTGCCGCAAAATGTTAAAGCTAAAAACATGTTGTCTGTACAACTATTCAATTATATTGGTACCTACCAGACTTTTGACACACCATGGTGAAACTCGATCTCTGACTGTTAGGTTTTAGGAAGAGGCTTCACTGGGGGGCAGATGTTACCCATTCTGTTTGCCCATGCTGATTTAACCAAAACTTAAACAAAAGATGGGATGGGATACTGTGCCTGACTTATTGTGGGCTACTCCCAGCTTCCAGGCTTCTGAAGATGGTTAGCTTTGAATGTATATTGTGAGTATTTTACTAAATAGTTAGACTTCAAGGAGGGAGAAAATATTTTTAATTAGTTTTTGTTTTGTTTTGTTTTCTTTCCAGGAAACGTGTACCGGACCATCACCCTTGTTAAGTTTTTTTTTTTCAGCCCGTGAAGATGTGTGGACCAGATCTTGCAGAGTACTTTTTTTTAGCAGCGTAACGCCTTATGAGGTTATGGAACAGATGTTTAAGACACATCTCCCTCAGTGACATGCAATTACATTTATTTGTTTTTAAGTTATTTTCTGTTTTGTTTGAAAAAAAAGTTCACTTTCATTTAAAACATGGGTAGCATGCAGTATCCATATCCTTGCTGCTCCTTTCCAATTTTTCCATCTACTACACTGAAATAAAAGCTTAAATTCATATCACTTGTTTCTTTTCCTTTGTACAGAATCAACATGTGTGATTTCCAGGTAGAGAAGGAACTGCAATGCTGTTTCTTAATGTTAATTGAGAGAGAGAGATGTTAATATTCGGAGAAAGAAAATAAACACAAATGTCCTCTTCCAAATAAAGTCATGTATTTCTGTAGTTTGAAAATAATATTGTAGTATACTTTAACTCAGTACATGCCATGCAGGCTCTATAACTGATGATGGATGTTCATTGCATTTTTCTGGCAGTTTAGAAAAGAAAAGGCTGAGTTTTTTTTAATTAGGTGTTGAGGAAATCCTGTTGCTGTTAAAGTTGTATATTGTTAGCACTAAAAGTGACAGTATGGCAAGGAGGGAAACACAATTATAGTTACAGTAGAATTTTCTCTTCTTTAAAAGAGGGTCTTGGATAGATGTCATTTAAAATTTATATTTATTACAAGAAGTAGTAGAACTATTTCTAGGAGCTATTTTCCCAGGAGTTTAGGGGAAGAAGCAAAAATAAATGCAACTTGTATTATCTTCAGAATCATTCATTTGTAACAAGCAAAGTGAATGATAAAGCAAGATGTTGGTTAAAGGAGAATTTTGAGGAGCTATTGATTTCTTGGTCTGAATAACTTATTTCTGTACCTAAAATTTCCTTCCTAATTTTGAGGTGTTAGAAATGCAGAAACAAAGGCATCAGTACTAGCAAAGAAATATGCCCTTGAATTTTTTTAATTGATCTGTACAGCCATGCACTGTGGAATGATCACTTATTTGGCTGTCCTTTTATAGATAAGCTTGTGAGTTCCTTTTTAGTCTTGTTATATAATCAAACTTCTTCCTCAAGGCAGGGTCATCTCGAGCTAAACTAAACCGGAGACCTGTGTGTCCTAACCTGCACTTACATTTTTCGCAACCTCTTTAGATTGTCATAACCCAAAGGTATGATTTTGTGTGCGCTTCGGCACTAGAATTATCCCCGCCAAATTACAGCTTCGTTGCACGGTAGAGTTTTCTGCTGCAGAGGAGAACCCTGGTGCAAGGAAGAGTTTCCCGCCTATTTGCAGCATGCGTTGCTCAAGTTGCAAGAGAAATGCATGGTGCAAAGGAGTTCCCGCCACCTGCATGCAAATTGGTTCCCTGTTATTGGCTAGTTCTAAATTATTCCCACGTGGCGGCTAACGATTGGCCTGTTAGCCATATAAGAGGCTTGAGCGGTTTCTGCCCAAGCCGAAGAGGATTCCACATCCATCTTGTGGGGACTTTGGGTACACGGCAGGGTAATAGAGACCCTGTGTGAGATTCAGAGGAGTTTGGCGACCTGATCCATCGTCCACCTCTTCCCGTCTTCGAGCGATAATTTAATAAGACGTATCTACGAAGTTCCTATTTTGGTGGCGCGCTTGTCCAGAGCATCCGGAGCTCTGTTTCCATGGAGCCTAGCAAACTCCACGTGACCGTTCGTGTTGTTTTTGTCTGTAACCGCAACTCAAGCAAGTTTTCCAGCCTGCACCGCAACCATCTCCGGTGTAAGTAAACAATCTTTAAATCTACCGCTACGAGTCTGTGCCTAATTCTAGCTTGTCGCGCGCCCTCTCCGACCCCGCGTGCCCGGGCTGCTGGCCACAGCCCGCGCAGAGCACAAAAAAGGGCCCGGCTCACGCCCAGCCCGCACATACATAACTCTGCTATATCAGTTAGAAAATTGTTCATTAGAAACTGGAAGAACTTCCATAAGAAATTTGATGAGCCAGTAGTGTGCCCTTGTTGCCAAGAAGGCTAATGGCATACTGGGCTGCACTGGTAGGAGTGTTGCCAACAGATCAAGGGAAATCATTTATTCCCCTCTATTTCAGCACAGGTGAGGCTGCATCTGGAATACTGCAGACCTGAAGTCCCCTGTAGTCACCAGGTCCTGTGATACAGCAAAACTAAAACATCTGTATGCCTGTTTCCCTTGGTTGTTGGGTTGTTTGTTTTCAAGAGCCTCCTCTATTGCCTCTTTATTTTAATGATCTGCAGAAGAGACCCACCACAGTACTTCCTTGGATGTTTTCCCCTTCCTCTCTTCAAGGAAAAGCTTTCAGTAAGTCTACCTCAAGCTTCATTTTCAAAACAAGTGTGTATGTCTTTGCAAGATAATGGCATCTCCCTCTTTTTTTCCTTTGTCCTGAATGAGCTATAAGCATCCATAGCAATACACCAACTATCCTACCAACTCTGTTATCCAAATTCCGTTTATTTCTCATTCCTTTTAGCATACAGGCATCTAAGTAATTAGCAGATTGCCCTACTAATGGCCTTTTACGATTTCCCATGTTTTCCCCTTATTTCTAGGCTCTTATCCAGTTTGCCCTGTTTGCTTCTCTCTCAAGATCATGTTACTGCTGCCCATAAATCTCTCCATTTTTAATTAAGTGGATCTTTTCTCTGCTTTACAACTTGGGGAATGCTATCCCATTGTCACTAAAGTCAAAACTCTGCAGGTAACACCTTATGTTCAGCCACTGTTCATCTCCAGGATAAATCTGTTTCTGTCTGGACTTTTAATTTTGCCTTGAAGAATAGAGGAGATGACCCTAAACTCTTGCCACATTTGCTGTCAATCCCAGAGCCTTGTAGTCACTTTTGTTCTCAAAAATCATACCTGGGACCCACACAGATGAGTGGGGTGGGATGTGGTAAGAGGGTAAGGCAAATCAGCCATGTTTTCTTTCAAAGATTTTAAAAATAGTCAAGTAATACTACTCTAGCAAATCCCCAAAGTAGTCTAATCTAGCCCAGGCCTAATGGTATGGTGACAGCATTTTTGGCTGTTCCAGAAATCTAGTGTAGAGAGACCATGCTGCTTTTGAAATATACTAAGGATTTAAAGGCATATATATTTCAAAGCAGTTTGCCTCTAGCCCCAACTTCTGGAATGGTTGATAAATATGCTCTGCAGTTTTAAATGTTGGTGTTGTTGGAGCCAATCTGATTCAACTAGTCAATGCATCAATCAGACTTACCTGTTTTAACATTAAATTCTTAGCACACCACTTTAGTCCCACTTAC